TGTAATCACTTAATCACAATAAAAAAAAAAGAACTTCGGGGAAGGGAGGGAGGGAGGGGATGGTAGGGGGAAAACAATGGAGGGGCTAACAATGTTCAAGAGGAAGTGTACTCATTACCTCACTCATGTAACTGTAACCCTCTGTATAGTATCTTTACAATAAAAAATTTAAAAAAAACTATGCATAAGAATTCCATACCTGGGGCTGGGGGTTTAGCTCAGCGCAAGAGCTCCCGCCTGGCGAGCACAAGGCCCTGGGTTCGGTCCTCAGCTCTGGAAAAAAAGATTTCCATATCTAAGGTTGTATTCCCTGATAGAAAGTTGAAACTTTGCTGGAAAGAGCAGCATAAAGACAAAGATATATAAATTTTCATGTGTATTAAACATAATTCTTCTTAACTGGTCAATAAAAAATGAGAAATAGAACCATCGGAACAGGAAATGAAGAATTAATACTAAGTCCGAGGGCAGAAAGCATGAACAATTGTGAAAAATGTGTAGCTTCCACTGAATGTAGTTGGAATGAATAAATGAGTTCTCACTAGATAAGAGGGTTAAGTACAACATATGATGAATTACAACCTATATACACAGCTGTTGTGATTACCAGTAAACATTATATTAAAGAGCCAGTGGAAATTCCCACAGTGCCAAGAGTAAGCACCAAAATTTTTTTCTGCTGCAGCAGAAAATTAGATGTTGAATCATTCTAATATTCTACCAACTTGCTTGACCACATTTTCTAGAACTATGGTTTTCCACTTTACAAGTTAAGTCTTTCTACTATTGTGTTCTAAGTTCTGTTTTCAAACTATATATCTATATCTATAGATATCTCTATCAGTATAGCTGTCTGTTAACGTATGTATGTATGTATGTATGTATGTATGTATCTCAATGAACAAAAGCTTAGTTTAATATCTGGAAAGCTTTGCTATTTTTTCTAAAGATACCTTAGAATGATAGAGTTTTAGTTTCCAGGGTCCTAGAACATGGACCTATTTCAGCAAGCTCTTTAGAGATGTATCACAAGAGTGGCCTTTTTTTTTTTCTGAGTTTCCAATACCATGTTCCGTTTTGCCCTCTGAGATCTCATCAGAATGACTGTGTCCACATTGCTGCAATCATTCTGGTTCTGATTGCTTAATTTCTATAGATTTTTTTTCTAGTCATCTTTACTGAGCCCTCATGAGAACCGCCAAGTAATTCTCTTTCTCAGTAGCTCCCACAGATTCCTCCAGCATACACACAGGATCTAGTTCCCAAAATGCCCCACATCTAATTTTATAGCAGTAACCCCTAGGGTCATTTTTTAGAATTTACTCTTTTCTGTGGTTACAATAGAACTTCATCTTCTGCATAACTTAGGGAGGAAAGAAATCACTTGCTTTCAGTTCTGTCAGAAGGGAACTTCAAGACTGAGGTGATTCAGACTGAGGTGCTGCTACTCTGCCCAATGATTGGCAGGAGAGAGAGGAAGGACCTCACTCTGTAACAAAGGGAATCCTGTAGTGAGACACCCATTAGGAGTATAGCAGCCCTAGTCCTTCATAAAACTTCTGCATGAATAGGTTGGATTGCAGGTAATTGTGCATTAACACCACCACAAAGTTGCCAGGTGGCTCCATAAGAAATTCTCCACCATTTATTTTGGTACACAGATAGACTAAAGAAGTGTACCCACCTCCTTTGTCTTTTGAAGTAGGTCTAAGGTTACCAAAGTTTCTGTACATCTGGGACTAAATTCTCTTTACTTAGAGAATATTGCTCATATGTGAACCTGAAGACTTTCATTGGGAGTATATGTTATTATCCTTACTCAGATCTGGAATATTATGGAAATTAATGTTTCTATAACCCAAAGAGTCACTGTGAAGATTTGTCCAGATTCTCTTCAAATGCAAGTAAAAAACCAGATATCCTCTTAAAACCGTCATGTTTTTACTTGTAAGCAAGTTCTTTTTTTAATGTGTGCTCTGATCAGATAAGTTCAGAAAATATGTGATTTAAAATTTCAGGCTTGGAGGTGGATGGAGCAGTTATAATGGACATATGTGGAATCAGGGAACTTGGGAAGATAGAGTTGGGAGAGATGGAGGAGGATGATAACTAGAGTGTCATTGTATTCACAAACTCTCATGTTGAATTGAAATCCCTTTGTTGAACTACTTTAAGATGCTAAAAAATTATAAAAATCTGGCTTGTCACCAGATTGCTATAGTCATCCAATTCAGCAACTGTAACTTGAGGGAAAATAATGATGAGTTGAAGGCCTGAACCTCTCTACCTTATGATTGCAGGGTGAAATTTGATTAAGAAGGTTGGTATTTCTCTTCCTCACAGAGAACCTCTCCTCTCTCTGTGCCAAACCACATCCTCAATTCACATGAACCTGGCAAGTAATTGCTCCAGGGGAAATAATGGAGGTCACTCTTCCCCTCCTTTCAGATCATTTTTGGTTTGTGTGTTTATACTACTGTTAAATACTGTTGTAAGGTTTAGTTGGGTTTCTGTTTCAGAGGAAACATGATTTGATATGATGCATAAAGTCCCGCATATGAATGTAAGAATTTTTATCTCATTTCATAGGCAGTCTTTCAAAGTTATTGAGTGGGAGTGCCATGAAATTATTTCCTACAGATATTAGACATTAATGGGAGGTATAAAAACAATTCCTTACTTTCTGACATCTGATTCCCCCTCCCTGCCCCTGTGTTCTTCATGGCACCACGGTAAATTCTCTACCATTCAGATGTGAAAGAATTCAAAACCACACATGTGAGATGACCAGTCTGCTGACTAAAAGTAGTATATATTTACTGCCAATTGGAGAAGCCATCACAGAGAAGAAGTTGAGGAGAGTCAAATCCCATGATTTAAATATATCACATGGTTCTAGGAGTCCTCCCCCTCCCAACTTCAGCACAGAAGGCATAGCCAATAGTTATAGATGTCACCGGGGTTATGGACAGCTGTTTCTCTGGGAAATGCTAAATTTACATATACTACTAATATGCAAGCTGGAACCAAAACTGCTGCTAACAAGGAGAGAGCTGTTATTGAAGCTATGCTGTCATAAAGCACAGCAACAGTTTTCTGAGGTTCCCGCTTTCCTGTTAGCACCTCTAAGAACACACGTAACAGAATTGACAAGCAATGATGGGTTTCAAGGGTTCATTCTTTATTTCAACAAGTCAGGGTGAAAAGAAGGTAGTTTGGAATGGAAAGATATCAAATGAAAGACTCCACACTGGAAAAGTGAAGTAGAGGGAAAGCGGAGGAAGAAGAGGGAGAAAGAAAGAATGAGAGAGAAATAAAGAGGGAGAGAGGAAAATAGGGAGGGGTAGATAGACATAGCAGGGAAGGGAGAAAGAAACTCAAAGGCAAGAAGGACAAGAATTCTATTCAAGTCAGTAAGTTACTTAAAATAATGAACAAAGACAATATGATATGACTCACATTTTCTTTATTGTGAAAATACCATATAGAGGGGTTACAATTACACAGGCAAGATAATGAGTACATTTCTTATCAAGCATTGTTGTCTTCTCCTTTTTTCCCCTTCCCATCCCTTCCCATCTCCCACATTCCCCCTGCCGCCCCCCCAAAGTTGTAAAGTTTGTTTTTCCACATAAGGACTTGTATATCTCATTGTTGCAATGGGTCCACCTGTATTCTTATTTAAACAATTTGTTTTTTCCCTGCCCCTCCACAAATTATACCAACATCAAATACAGTGGAGGAGGGACATACAACGCAACAAAAAATTATCTTATAAATATGTTAGAAACAATCACATAAAAGAAAAAAACATTTGAGTACTTATCTTGGGGTTCATTCTCACTTTTTTAATGGTGTTCTGATCTTGCAATTAGGATCTCTGAAAGTTTCAAACCTTAGTTTCTAACACATGCAATAACATTTTTACTGCAAGGGCACTGAAAATGAATATACATGAAATTTCATGGAGGATGAGGAGTATTTTTCTCAACTGTGAAATCTGCTTCACTGTCTCAAATGTGATTCTGTCACTGGGTGGTCCTTTCTCAGGAAATTTTGAACATTGAGTTCTTATTTCTTCTTTCCACCTTTTTTTGGAGGTGGTCCTCCTTTCTTGCCTGCCCTGTACTTCCGAATCAGAATGACCAGACAGATTATTAAGAGGATTAGTAATATAAATAGTGCGAGTAGGAAAAGTTTGTTTTTCAGCAGTCTGCTAAGAAAAGTTTCTTTGGGAGCTGGGCCACTATCAATACTACCTCCATAGCCAGCTTCTTCACACTGGGGTGGTGCCCACCCATAGTTGCAATGACAGTGATGTTTATTATTGCAGATGCCACGCTTATTGCAATATTCTTCTGTGCAGTCACTTGCCTGGAGTGATCTAGGGATGCACTTCCTATTGAGACACATATGTTCTAGACCACACTCAGTTCCATCTTTGATTTCACCCACATCGTCTATGACCACTCCAAAGTGGATGTGAGTGCCCCAGCAAGTCATATTATCGACTTCAGTCCAATGTAAACTGGAATGATCTTCCAATTTGGGAAGTTCGTGCACATTATCACACTGAACTCTCCCACAGAGAATATCTGTACTATTACACTTTCTGTACCCATCTGGTTCAAAACCACAGTTTCCAATGCGGTCACCTCTCGAGTTGATATTTTGGTAGCAGAGCTCATTTGCATTTTTGGCATCTCTGCCAAAAATCTGCTTACACTGTTGGTCTCGGTTATTACATTGCTTGTTGTAGCAGTATGTAGCTTCAGAGCACATGGACCCATCCAGCACATGTACATCTGGTGGACAATTGGGTGTGTTTCCATTACACCATTCAGGCAGATCACAATCATTGATCGGTTCTCTGCACAAAGTGCCTGCAGGCCTGAAGCGACAATCTTGGCAACAGAGTGCAGTAGCACATTTGGCCCCAATTTTCAGAGAGCAGTTTGCCAGACAACATGGGTCTTCATCACACAATTTTATGGATCCACAGTCACACTCCTCTCCCTGGTCAACCACTTGATTTCCACAGAACGTAAGATGATATATTTTTGATGGTGGTGGTGGAAATCGTCCACACCTATTGAATAAAAAAAAATTTGTAATGAAATCATAACTGCAGTCGCTAAAATGTGTGGAGTTTCCTCTGCTTGCAGACATTAGGCAATCTGCCTCTCCACAACTACAGCCAACTGTATCATGCTCCATACCCATAGTATGACAGATCATGTGTACCAATGTTTGTGCAGTTGCAAGAAAATCGTTTTTAAAGATTTGTTCTACTCCACAAGACGTAAGAGAACATAGAGATGCAGCTTCTGCTTTACCCTTATACAAAGCAAAATCGGTTATCGTCAAAAGATGTGCAGTGTCACTTTCCACAAGTAGATTCAATTCATAGATCTGAAAATGACAAAACTCTGTGAGGGTGGTATGTATATTCCTAATAGTTATACGATTCCTCATAGTCCAGATATAAAGTCCAACCAAGGAAAGGTCAACACCTGCTGCTGAAAAAATGGAATTTGCTTCATTCATGATGATAAACACATCCCCTATCACCTCTGAGGTATTACTTTCCCGATATAAGAAATAACCATTGTCTACACACAATGCAACTTTTATGAAATACTTGTGGGTCCACCAGCCTTCAGAGTCACTCTTTCTCATCATGGAATCATCACTCTCTTGCAACTGCAATCTTTGTGTTATTTCTTCATCTGTTAATGCACATCTCATAGCTGGGGAATGTAACTCATCCCTCTCTCTCTTATAAACCAGATGTTCAAATGTGGCAGAAGGGATCTTGGGCTTGATTTCATAAGACATACCATTTATTTGTAGTATTCCCTGAAAGCCACCAAAACAGGTGTTAAGAACCACCATGGAATCTGGGTCCCCTTCCACATACCCCTGGTAAAAGCAGTCCTCCTGAACAAATGGCTGTTCCTCAAGGAGAGCTCCTTGCTCGGTGTAGGTGAACACAGAGAAATGTCTGGATAGTACAAGCTTCTTGGTCTTCAAGTGGATAATGTGTCTCTGTCCCCCAAAGTACAGGATATAGGAGAGCCAGCCTGAACTCTTCATGCCGCTTACTTTCAAGGGTATCGTCACCTCTGGGGGGCTTTGATACTGAGCCTGTCCAATCTGGGGCCAACCATAGAGGACAAGTGACAAGGCAAACCAGAGCTGCAGGGAAGCAGTCTTCATATTCAGCAAGGTCTCCAACTCAGCCATCATAGACTATGAGGAGGATAATGTAGGGAAGGCTAGTAGAGGAGGGGTGGCTTTGACTTTTAATGGTATCTCTTCAATCAGAGTCAATTCTTCAGAACAGCAACTAAAAGAGAAGAAAAAGAAATGACATAATAGGAATGGACACCTTGTGAGACAAGCAGCGTGGAGGAGAAGGAGCAGGCTATGGCTTAAAGTGGATTTGTATTTGGACTATGACATACATCAGTATAATAACTTGGATTTGCTCTTTATTTTCTATGTGGCAGTGTAAGGCAGTGGGCATGCAGAGAACTACAATGGCCATCAATGGACAATGCTAGAGCCTAGAGGAAGAACACTGAGATCAATTATACTGTCCTTTAAATATGAATAGTTCATTAACATTCCCACAAAACATTTAAAGCAAAAGCCATAACTACTTTAGAGACTGAAAATAGGAAGACTGAAGATTTAGGACAGTCCAGGCCAAAAACAAAACACAATTCATAAGACCTTTAATAACCAATTGCTGTGTGGAATTGTGCAAAACTCTTCTGCCTAAGTTACATGGACCTGAGGTTTGGGGAGTCTGCCCAGGGCAGAATGGTGAAAAAAGTCCAATGGCAAGGTGATGAGATTTTTTACATAGAAAGCCTGAAAAGTAGATAGCTACAAATTGTTTACATCTCTGGGTAGGAAATGAGAAATAATCACAAAATAACCAGTACAATACTGGGCTGGGAGGTATGGCTCAGTAGCAGAGAACCTCCATGCTCACGGTTCAAAAGCTAAGTGATGCCACAGGAAGTTTATAAATAAAAAATGAATATTCAAAGCAAGAGTTTTCTTGGAAAAGTGAGCCTAAGTCTTATTTTGGAGATGCAATATTTATTTATACATATTCACTTCATATAAATGTGTACATGTGTATATCTATATTTCAATTTCAAAGGATCAGTCACTGATTCAAATTAGTTCAGGTGCGATAGACAAGAATAACAACAAGAAAAAGAACTCACATTTATTATGTTCTACCAGGATTCTTAATGTGTATTTCCATGATGGGCATCCCTCTGATCCTGTGACATTCCAATGTGTTAAAGCATCGATTGTGTTCCAATAGCTATAAAAGTGGATATGCTATAGAAGTGGCTATTCACATTCGATTAAAAATACAATATAGGAATTGGAAAATAGTTTCCCTTAGATCAATAAATGGATTTTACTCAAATGTGTTTACATTTGATCATGCCCCAATGACAACATAGTTTTTGACTTTATACAATAAAAAGGAAGACAAACTAAGTGGAAAAATCACTGCTGTAAATGAGAATATTAGAGGCAAAACAAGTTTCATTGAACTCCAAGGGGAGAGTAGAAAGCACAGGGAAAGACAGCATGGGCTGTGGCAAAAACATTGAAATTGTTTCCAACTTACAACTGTACCATTGCCAGCTCCCAATAAAAACCTGAAAAATCAATTTATCCCATGTAGAAACATGTTCACATATAAGATTACTAATGTGCAGGTATATCTCCCAGTAAGCAAAATGTACTAGCATGTGGTTGTGAAAATGAGAAATAAAATAGTGGCTAGCCTAGCCGGGCGCCGGTGACTCACACCTATAGTCCTACCTACTCAGGAAGCTGAGATCTGAGGATCTGGGTTCAAAGTCAGCCCGGGCAGGAGAGTCCGTGAAACTCATCTCAATAAACCACCAGAAAACCAGAAGTGGTGCTATAGCTCAAGTGGTAGCGTGCTAGCCTTGAGCTGAAGAACTGAGGGACAGCACCCAGGCCCAGAGTTCAAGCCCCATGGCCGACAAAAAACAAGAAAAACAAAGGAAAAAATAGTGGGAAGCCTAATAATGATATATAACTTTGACCTTAAGTAAAATATTAATGAAACTGGATATTATGCAGTTTCTATGGTAGGCATTGGGGAGAGATCAGTAAATGGTACAAAGTTGTTAAGTTCATGATGTTGACCACTCATTTTGGGAGAATGACTGGTATAAAGATACATTTTAAAAATCCTTAAGCCTAAGCTGGGTGTTAGTGCATCATGCCTATAATCCTAGTTACTCAGTAGGCTGAGATATGAGGATCATGGTTCAAAGCCACCCCAGGAAGAAAAGTCCTTGTGAATCTCTGATCTCCAATTAACTACTCTAAAACTTGAAGTGGTGCTGTGGCTTCAGTGGTAGAGTAGTAGCCTTGACCACAAAGAGGCTAATTGACAGTGCATAGGCTCTGAGTTCAAGCACCATAATAGATAAAAAACTATAAACTTGCATAACACTTTGTATGTGGCATGCCTATGTTTGTTAGACTTACTGAAAGTATTAATGAGATTGTGAAATTACTGTGACAAGTAGATTATTTGGAGGAAGATTATTATGAAAATGAAATCCGCTCTGAAGAATCCAACATTTCTCAAAGAGATAAGACAGTAATAAAAGATGACACAGAATGATTGCCTGTTTTCTCTGAGACTCCAGAGACATCTCACATTTCTTTAATGCTGTCATTTTCTTGATTTTTTTTTGAAAAGGAGGTCTAAGGGGTTGGTCATGGGGCTTGAACACAGGACCTGGGCTCTGTCCCTGAACTTTTTGCTTAATGCTAGGTCTCTGCCACTTTGAACCACAGCATCACTTCTAGTTTTCTGGTGGTTAGTTGCAGATAAGAGTCTCATGAACTTTCCTTCCCGTGATGACTTGGAACCATGATTCTCATAATCTTAGCCTCCTGAGTAGCTAGGATTGCAGGCATGAACACCCAACTTGCTTCTTTCTAACTTCTTCATTGTGGTTACAAATCATATTTTTATTTTAACCAGTCAGCTGTCAGGAGACATTTGGCCCACCTAGCTAGAAGTTGTGAGTAGCTAAGGAGCCCTTCCTCTAGTTCAGGAAGTCATTGCCCTTTACTGCCCAAAGCTTAGTGGCTGGACTGACAGATTCAGAGACTTGTATCTGAACACCTTGACAATTAGAGACTTAATGCTCCAGACTTTGGAATCAAGACAACAGAACGAGTTCTACATTGCACTTGAGAGTTCATCTGCATGATTACCAGGAGACACATAAGAGCTGCAAATCTGGTATCTGCCAGGGGATTTCATTCTCCTAAAGATTCATGTGTCCAGATCTATGTCATTTCCCTCAGGGGATTTTTCTCATGTTTCCCCTCTAGGTTTCATCACAACACTAGGTTCTTAAGAGAACAGATTTAACCTGAAAAGTTTTAATGTCGTCATTCATTTGCTGGGGCTACTGTTACAAGGTAACCACACAATGAGTATCTTAAACCCCAGAAATGTATCTTTGGAGGTTTGCAGGCTAGCCATCCAGGACAGCCGTATTTACAGGTCTATACTTCTTATGTACACGCAAAGGAATGACTCATTCCACTGTTCTCTCTCAGCTTTTTAGAAAAACCCTAGATTGAGCAGCAAACTTCTGATTATCACTTTGAAAGAGATGAATACTTCTATGAGTCAAAGAAGTTCATTATATGACAATAATACAGTTAATCCAAGAAAGTCTGTGTAACTACTATTAGTACATACACCCCAAATATCAGACCTATTAAACATGTATTAGCAAACTTTCTAATGAGAAAGGAGTAGAAGAAATGAACACAATCACAGGATATGATTGTAATAGCCCACTTTCAATAATACTTGTAATGTGCCGAGAGAAACAAAGTTGATTAGCTTTTAATATTTACCATCAGAATTTACCAACAATATAGAAAAAGTAAAACTATGTATATATGCAGAACGTGCCAATAGCACTCAATAGCATAGCAAGAGACTTTTCTGTGTAACATACGAATGAAGTTCAGGACTGATAACATTTTACTCATTACAGAGTATATTAAAGCTATATTCAGAAGATTGAACTCATAGCAAATATCTCTTTTGACCAATATTGAATGAGACTAAACATCATTCATAGAGGAAAAGCTGGAGAACACACAAATGGGTAGAAATTACATCTTACCCATCTGAAAAATCAATATGTGGGATGAAATCACAGGGAACTATCTAGAACATTGATGTAAATAAAAATGAAAACAGAACATTCTAAAACATGGGATATAGTATACAAAATATAAAATGGCAATATACAACAATGTTGAGGAATAATAGAAACCAGAAAGGTCTGTTCCCAAATTTAGCATCAGGAAGGAAACAACCAAGATTATAGCAGAATAAATTTAAAAATAATCAAATAACAGACATATAGGCTTTACAAATCATGGAATAGAGCCAGGTTCTGGTAGCTCCCACCTGTAATCTTAGCTACTCAGGAAGCTGAGATCTGAGGATCATGGTTAAAGCCAAGATTGTTACCTTCAATTAATCACCAAAAAGCTGTACGTGAAGCTATATCTCAAGTGGTAGAGTGCTGGCTTTGATCCAAAAAGCTTAGGGACAGCACCCAGGCCCTGAATTTAAGCCCCAGGACACACACACACACACACACACACACACGAATACTATTAACAAAATTTTGGTAAACTAACCAAAAAACGAAAAGACTCAAATAGAATCAGAAATGAAAGATAAGACTCATTACAAAAGATTTCAAGAGAAAAAACATCATGATGATCTATCGTGAAAAAAATATAATACTAACAAATAAGATAACCTAGAAGAATTAGATATTCATCATTCTGTTTCTGAGTCAAGAATGTTTGGAAAACTGAACATTTCAAAAGCCAATGAGCATTTTGTGTGATAAATGAAAAACCTCATTAGACAAGCCCAGGACAAGTAGAACTAGTTGGGAAATATTATTAAAAATTATAATAAAAGCCCATGACCAGATAGATTCACAGCTGAATTCTACAAGGTCTTCAAAGCAGAACTCACACCAATATTCCTCTAACTCTTTAATGATATTGAAAGTGAAAGTTCAATACCAAACTCTTTCTCTGAAACCACCATAACCCTCATCCCCAAAACAAACAGGGACTCATCAAATAAAGGGAACTATAGGACCTATATC